GTCCCACCAGGCTCTCTGGCCAGCGCAGTGACTAGAGGAAGAGGCAGCATCCCACAGAGCAGTGGGACATCACTAGCTCTGCTGGGCGCGGGGACAGGCAGCATCTCGCTAAGGATGGGATGCTCTGGGGACAGAGGCAGCTTCTGGGCAGGAGGAAGACAGAGCGCTGGACTTGGCTGGTGCCAGCCGGGGTAGGAGGGGAGGGGACAGTGCCATACCCCAGGCCCCCTACAAATGAAAATGCTCAGCCTCTCGCAGAAGCTCTCATCCCAGCCACCCCCTGGGGCCATGGGGAAATGAGGCCGATCAATGATGGACTGGCTGAAAACCACCAGCTGAGCAGACACCAGCTGTGGTGGTGCAAAGGGCCCCGGGGCTGCAGCACAGCCCCCCACCCCTCCGCCTCGCTGCTCAGGATGAACCCATCCTACCGCACTCCAGGATGTGGGATGGATACCTGTGCTCCCATCCCTCGCGGCTTTAGGCAGATCAGCCGAATCACAGCACAGTGCCGTGTCTCTGCGGGGGCCCAGCATCCTCCCAGGCTCAGCGGGGAGGTGACAGCACCGCCATGCACAGGGACACAGTCCTTGCTGACCCAAACCTGCTCCAACTGTCTCTGTACGCTCCGAAGTGGGAATAACACCCAAAGGCTCCTGCTGGGGTGCCAGGGAAAGCTTCTCCCATGGGGGACAGGGACAGACATCCCTTCTCGGGGGGAGAAGCACGCGAGAAGCAGCACAGCACTTGGAGTACATGGGGGCCTCCCGCCCACCGCCCTCACAACAACTCGGGGAAACTGAGGCAAGGGGACCACAAGCCCAGAGCACTTGTGTCAGAGCTGGGAACAAACCCCAGCTCTCAGTGGGACACGCTGGCCACCAGCCCCTCCTCACCAGCACCAGGCAGGACCCTGAGCTCACAGCAGCGATGGCACCAGCCTGGGGCTGCATGCACAGGGAAGAGCCTTGCCAGGGAAGGAGGGACCTTCCCCTCTCTGAAACAGCAACTCCCAGCCACCAGAACCCAGAGGACCAGAGACCCACATCCCAGATGCACACAGCTCCATTTGTTACTCCTTGCCAGCACCTCGCAGCAGAGACCCCCTCAGCCCAAGAGCACCCCAACCCCCTGCACGGCTGCAAGCCCAGCAAACCATGTGTGCACAGCCCCCCGCACTCCAGGTCACCCATTAGAGCATGTTATGTCACCTAAGGGCAGCACCAGGCTCTAATTGATGCTGCCCATGCTGCCACTCATCCCAGCTGGGCTCAGGGAGCCGGGTGACACCAGGGTGCGAGGAGTGGAAGTGCAGAGGTGACAGCTGCAGCCTTGGCAGCAGCTCCGACACCAGCCGGAGCTTGTCCCACCAATCCCTCATCCTGCAGGCTGGAACCTGGCTTTCTTCCCAGGAAAACTTAGCTTGAGTGGAAGGCAGCTCCTCCATCCCGCTTGGGTGCGGCGCAGATCCCTTCACCCAGGCAATTTAATTCAAGCGTCTCCACTTGGGGATGGAGAGAGGGGAGCAGATCACTCCATCCTGGGCTGCCTGGCTAAATTCAATGCTGATTTCTCTGCAATACTGGCAAAAAGTCTCTTGGGAGCCAGGAGGATCAGGATGCTTGAGTCCTGACAGAGAACACCTAGCAGGGGACACAGCCCAGCACTGATGGTCACCAGTGCAGAGCATACCTGACCATCGCTGGGGTGCTCAAAAGGACCAGCCACCCACCTGCTCCAACACCTACATTTTCCCTGCCCAAGTGTTTGCCCACAGTGAAGGCACCTGTGCAGCCAAACACTGGCTCCATGGGCTGACCCTGCTCAGGGGGAAGCAGGGGAACATGTGTCTCCTCCCCTTCTGGCACGATTCGGGACAGAAAGCACCTCAGAAGTAACGGCAGGACCTCCATGTACAGCTTTCTATGCAAACTACCAGGACCTGCATGACACCCCGCAGCTTACGTGTGCAGGGTGGGCAGGAAGGAGCCCAAGCCCAAACAGGGCTGGTGTCAGCAGTGAGAGACCCCCGCAATCCACCTTCCTTCGGGACCACACAGGCTGGAGGGCTGTCCCCTTACCATGCTGAAGTCCACACCGTTGGTGATGGTGTGTCTCCGGTGTTCTGCACGTCCCCTCTGATGCCTCCGAGCGTCCCCAGCCCCTGGCTGGCCACCGTCTCCCTGGGACTGCCCAGCAGCCTTAGCATCACCACCTGGAACAGAAGAAAGCATAAGGCCACCAGCCACTTGCCCAGAAACCTCCCCACAGTCACTGCTACGGGACTATCTGCAGGGCAGTCTTGCAAACAGATGTGTCAGCTGAGCAAAGCACCGGCCGAGCGCCTGCTCACATCTTTGTATGGGCAGGGCAAGCTTCCGCAATGACTGGCTTGCGCCAGGCTGGCAACAGATGTCTGTGGTCATCTTCTGCAAAAAGCAGGAAGCTTCCAGCCAATGCTGGTTCAGTCCCAGCATGGGCAATTAAACATTAGTGATATTGCCTACCCTCACCCTGTCCTCACGGGACCCCTGTCTTGGGTGGCACAGGCTCTGCCAGGAACCCAGCTCCTCCTGAAGACAGTTCCTGTTGGGTTACAGGCTTGGCCATGCAGACGTCTCCCCAGACCCCATGCCTGTGGTCTAACTATAGAGTAAATTATACTGTAGGTTTTCCAAAATTTTATTAAAAACCCAACATCCTACCTCGCAAAAAAAGATCTACTACAAACACCTGACACTGGTGCAAATCCATGCACAACCTATTTTTGCAGGCTAAGTCCATACTGTCAGGTTTTAGGCTGGAACAGACACCTCCTGCCCGTGCTGTCTGGATGCCAATGCAGATATTGGCTGGGCACCTGCAGAAAAGTCAGGACAAGCCCCGCACCGCCTGCCCTGGCAAACTCACCAGAAACGCAGCCCTGCAGCCACGGCCGAG